GGAACCGCCCCACCACACACGGAACTGCCGCACCGTGCACGGAACCGCCACACCGCGCCCGTTTGCTGATGCCCACTGGTTCTGACTGGTTCCCAGTCTCCCTTCCCAGCCAGCCGCTGTTTCCACAGGACACCCCCGCCCTGGCTGAAGACCCCCTGCTCAGCCTGTTCTCGCCAGGCCGCTCCGTAGGCCCCACGGTGAGCGACTGCACGGGGAGGGGCTCCCCACAAACAGCCCTGGGAGAAGCACAGGGCGAAGCCAGAGTAGCTGGGAGGGAAGGCCAGGCTCCCGGCGAAACGCGGGTCTTAAATAATGACCGATGACCCGGTTTCTTGAGATGCAGCAGCACATGTCCCCTTCGAGCCCATTTCGCATCCATCAGCCCTCCCCACGTCACGCTGCCGACCACAGGCACGTCACGCTCGCCAGGGTGGCAGGAGCCCACAGCTCCTGCAGGAAGGGAAAGCTCCAAACGGACTCACAGCTTTAGAATGGGCAAGTAAGTTGTTGGCACAGCCCCCGAAGACGATCACCTCTCCCTCTTCGCTTGCACAAGCGGTATGCCACAACCTAGGAACAGAAGGCAGCACTCAGACCAAGAAAACCCCCCCGCCCCGCCGACTGCGCAGGCTCGGGATTCGCCTTTACGGCTCGCATGGGCAGGTTTGCCCCTCCAGCAGCGCGCTGCCGACGTGGCCGAACAGGAGTTTGTGTTCAGAGAAAGGAAACGGGTCGGGGCAGGAACCAGGGGCGGTGGAAGGCGTCCCTGCTCAGTACGGGGCCCGGCGGCACGCTGCCCGCAAGGGCTGGCACCTGTGAAAGCCCGTCGCTCCCGAGGACGGACGTCACGACCTGCTCGCACAAACCTGATCTCAGGTCCCGCTTGAGGCAAGACCGGGAGAACAGTCAGGTTTTGTACTGCTCTCCCGAATTGGGGGAACAACTAACATGTGTTCGGCACTGTCCTGCTGCTCCCAGGGCGGGAGGGCAGGTGGGGGCGGCAGCTCAGCCTTCGGACTGCGCCAGGACCCAGCGAGGCCGAAGGGGCAGGCAGGGGAGCATCGCTGCTTCAACTCATTTAACCTCGATCAGAACTTCCCCACACAAGAGGGATCACAGGAACGCGACAGGAGCGTTCCCACCGCACGCCACCGACGTGCATCGCAGTGGGTTTGGTGCTTTTCAAGTGCAGGTTGTCATCTGTGATTCAGGCAGCAGGGAGACAGAAGTAACCTGGGCGTGCGCGGGGTCGGCGCCGCTGAGGATGCTGGGCAGAGCGAGGCTGCCCGCGTCCAGTCCGCCGGCAGAGCGAGAAGGCGGGGGTTCCAGCTCGCTCCGTGCTGGCAGCCCCTGCTCAGAGGCCTCTGCAGCCAGAGCAGACCCAAAATCCCTGTGTTCTCGGCTCTTTCACACAACCCGAGCAACAC